TATATATAAAAAGAAATAAAAACAACAAATGTATATAGGAAACAGTAAAGTTTCCAATTAAAAAATAAAAAATAAATTAATAGGGTAAATATGTAATCTATCATTTTAATACATGTATAACTAATACCCACATAACTTATTCCACCTTCTACCCTGCATAACTTTATACATAGATTCCCTCATAAGTTATGTTGGTATTAATTATGTAGGACTACAAAAATGCAACCAAACACCGTATAAATTAATACATGAATAACTTTTATACAGCATTTAAATTCTTACCAACCAAACGTGGTATAAGTTATGCTGACTTTTATACCTAATACAAAACTTCTACCAAACACAGTAAAGCTAATGCAACTTTTTATACATGAATAAGATGTCTCTTATACAGTAACCAAACGACCCCTTAGTTAATAAGCCATGTCAGCCGCTTGAACTATCTATCATGTGTAAGTACCTTTAAAAATTTACTGCAATTCATGGCCACCGGCCACTTTCTCACTTTTAATTTACTAGACACAAGTGCCTATGTCATATAGTATTTGTTATTTTTTTGGTCTCAATATAAAAAAAATTTAGATAGTCAATTAAAATTTAATATAATTTTTAAATATTTTAAATTGTTAATTATTATATTTTTTAAATAATATTTGTTATTTTTCTTGTCCCCAATATATGTAACACAAATAAAATTACAAGAATCAATTAAATATTGTTAATTATTGAAATTTACAATACTTTTTAAATAGTTTTCAAATTAAATAGTACATGTTATCCGATACATAGTCTCTTATACCATCTCAAACTCACCTCCATTATTTACAGAGTTGGCTTCTTCTCCATTTCACTTTCGCAGAGATTTGTAAGTCTATTTGGAGTAACCATTTATGGAGAATCGACTAAGATATCTCCCAAACTCCGTTGCTAGATTTTAATTCTCTTTTCCTGATGGTCGGTATTCGATCTTATCTCTCTCTCTCTTTTCAACCTGATTTAAGAACTCATGGACTTGAGTTTTGAAATTTCAATTCACCTTAGTTTTTTCCCTATAAATAACAGGCTCTTGCATTCGTTTTGGAGCAACTCTACACAAAAAAAAGAAGAAGAAGCATTCTCTTAGAAATATCCAACTTTTCCATGGATTTTTGTGTGTTGGTCAAGTTCGGAAACTCCAGTTCGAAACAGGTGAAAAATCTACTTATTTCGCTGTTCGTTCATGTTATTAGATTCCATTTATGTTATAATAGTTCTTGAGGTCCATAATTCATTGTTTCAGTTCCTCTGTTTTTCTTTTTTCTCCTTACTCATAATATGTAATAAAAGTTATGTCTAAATGATTGATATTAAGTAATGTCAAATTTTGTGTTTGAGACATACATGAACTTGTTGAAAATGTTTCAAACCTGGCACATATTTTTCTTAGTATAAATTGATGTTCGTTCTGTCTCTTTCTATTATTAGTTAACTTTTGTGTATTTTCTTTGTTTTGGCTTTAAATAATAGCAATTTATACGTGTAAATTTAAAGTAATATGGCGCAAAGTTTTCACAACTTATTTAACCCTTAACTATGAATGGATTTGAATTTATCTTATGCTTGGAAAATATGTACGTGTGGTTTAGCTCCTTTGAGTCGGTGTGAAGTTCATTAGTTGCAAAAGGTGTGTATTTTCTTCATAGCTTCCATATTTTTTTGGAAGTCAAGATTGTTATCTTTGCCTATATGTATTCTTGTTCAATATTATCTAAAGTTAAATCACAGTTACAAATCTCTTTTTCATTTCTCTATTATACATGTACACTCGGGAGCGCGTTTGGAGTTGCAATATGACTCCACCTCTATCCAAATTAGAGAAGCGACCAATCTTGCATTTAGCTCGTGTCTAGAATGATTTACTCATTCCAAAAGAAAATCTCGCACTTCCTCCTTATCTCGAAACTTTACATTTTTTATGCATACATATGTGTTGGTTGTTATCTGTGACTAACGTTTTATACTTTTTTTTGGCACCTATATTTATGTTTTGTTTCAATTTATGTTTGAAATTATGCAAACTAACTAAGAACTTTAGCAAATCTAGTTGCTCACCTTCCCCTCCTTTAGATACTGGGTTTTAATATATTAATTTCTCTTAGAATAATGACCTTTAAATTAAGTTTGTTTTGTTGCTTAACTCGTTTGTTAGTTTGAGAAAACTTTATTTTGCAAAGAAGTTGGACCCTTTTTATGATGGATATGTATCAACCCTTAAACCCTACTTTTTGATAAACTAAGGTCTTTAAAATATAACTTTTCTAATACTTTCCATAAACTTTTTTTAAGGTTAAAAACAAAAAGTGTAAGTTTTTGAACTCTACAGTGAAGCATTTTTTAAGAATTTTAAAGGGACAGTTTGTATGTCTTTTGTTTACTTTTTGGGAATTTTGAGTAGGCAAATTTGAAGATAAAAGGCTTTCAATTGATTAATAACTTAAATTTTTTATCAAGGCAAAATATATTTTTCGATATCTTTAGCTTTAAGATTTCCTCATTAATTCAATTTCATAAAAAAATAAAAATTCTTAAACAAAAGCATTTGACTTGGCCACTTATTTTGAAAGTAACAAATTATGCATATTTCATTCAAACTCCTTTTTCTTGTTAAAAATCAAGTTTAAACTAATTTAAAACCTCTAAAGTTAGATAGGTGTTTTATTTCTTTTTTCGAATCTTTATCAGTTAACTACTTCTTAGGTTGTAAAGAGACAACAATATGGGTAATCAAATACGCATCATGCAATTTATTTTTGAAATTTTTGGTTAGTTAATTTCACTTTAATTTTATTGAATAATTTTCTAATTAATTAATTTTTGATTGAGCTTTTCTTCTCAGTTTTTTCTCTGTGGCTAATTAACAGGAAATATTGCTCCTCTTTTTCTATACATGGTACCAATGTAAGCATAATTTCAACAACACTTCTTAGCAGTGGTGTACGTAGAATTTTTTCTAAGCGGTGTCATTATTAAAGGGATAAGAATGGCTCAAGGAGAAAATCAATGAAGGTTTTGCTTCAGGCCTCCGTAATGAAGATATTCTTTTCGAAATAAAATAGAATAAATGGGCAAAGCCCAAAAATAAAAAAATAAAAAAATAATATATATATATATATATAAAAGAAATAAAAGATATACAAACGTGATAAATAAAATTAAGTGAATCTAACGTAAATTGATTAACTAAAAGATAAGAAATTATAATATTTAGTATATACTTTCAAATTGACTAAAATTAATTCTTAAATCTTTCCTTACTTCAATCTATATATAATTAAATAAAACCAAAACATTGACAACTTCTATGATAATTTTTATTTCCGTAAATTTGATAATCATTTTAAAAGAAATATTTTACGTAATATGATAAAAAATAAAATAAAAAATCTTGGTTCGGTTGTTAACTTTCTCCTTTTATCTTCACTTATTTGGCAACAACATTGTTAACTTTCCCCTTTTAGAGCTTGTTTGACATTGGTGTTGGGAGCTTAAAAGTAGTTTATTTTGAGAAAAAAAGCTTCTTTTTTTTTTTTTGAAAAATTAGGTATTTGGCAAACTGTAAAATTATTTTTAAATAGAAGCAAAAGTAATTTTTCTGCAGTTTGAAAGAAACTTAAAATTTCTGTTTCTTAAAGAAAGCAGAATGTAACGACCCTCTTAGTCGTTTTATGAATTTTACCCATTTTTCTAAATTTAGCCCTTTTAGTAGCTTTTATAAATAATTTATGACTTGTGAGAATGAGTGATGTAATTTTCAGATTTAATAAAGGAGTATTTTTATTGCAAATAATAATGGAATTTTTTTAAAAAAAAAGAATAAATAGGCAAAGCCCAAAATAAAAATATATATAAAAAAAGAAATAAAAAATATACAAACGTGACAAATAAAATTAAGTGACTTTTTCGAATCTAAACGTAAAGGACAATTTTTTATCTTTCTTAACTGAATATCATAATCCACTGCTATTTTAATTCAATAATTAATTTATGAAACAAGTTGTTAGATAAAATAATCCAGCGATGAAATTCATAACTAATTTCATTATTTTTTGTGCGAAATACTACCTTCGTCCATTTTAGTTGTTGTAGTTTTCTTTTTAGAGTCAAATTATAAAAATATTGACTAACAATTTACAATGTATTTTTCATCATATTAATATGCTTTATAGTATTTTTCGTATAGATTTTGAATATCTAAATTTTTTGTTTAAAATATTGAATTAATGTAATCTAATTTAACTTTGAAAATCAATCTAATTAACTTTTGAAAAAGGCAATATGACAAATAAAAGTGGACGGAGGGAGTAAGATTTATCAAGCATTAATATGCGGGGCACCAATTGTGAATAATTTTTATTAATTAATGATTTTATACTTGGCAGATCTCAACAGGTATTGGCTTGGGTCTAGGAATAGTTTAATTTAATTTTATACAAATATGTCAATAATGGTCAGATATCAACAAGATATATATATGTATAATTGAAGATGAACATTTATAACTTTCTACTATATTAGAAGCATGCATGTCTGCTTATGGTTATTTTTTAATTTACGAAGGGCATTTTTGTCATTTCAGTCATACCCTTGCTTCCATCTTTACTCCACGTGGTAATGTAGTCACAGCTTCACTGCACGTGGCATTCATGCCAGCTCAATCTTAATGCTCTCATCTATCCATTGATGAAGAGGAAGATAGAAGTTTCTGCCTTACGCTTCCCATCTCTCAGTGCAACTTCAATTTTCAGGTAATTTGTTGCTTCTCTCTTCAATTTTTGGCTACGATTTCTTACTTCTTCGGATGCTTTCACCTCCATTGTGTTTTGGTTTTAATTTTTTTCGATTTAGTTTTATATATATTGTGATAATTTTCTATGGTTTCATCTAATCTCTCAATTAATAATAGTTTTCATGTTCAAGTTTTATGTGCTAATGATTCTATGGCTATAGAGATTTTTGTGGGCTACTATGCACGGCATGGGTACAATACTTTACGTTGTTGTGATCAGATCTTCTCAATTCTGCTTTTGTGTTTCTCGATATGTATCTCCTTCATTTTCTGATTACGTGTTCTATTTAGTGATTGTTGTGCTTTTGGGTCTGATTGTTTGGGTTGGAGTTCTCTTTATGTGTTCATTAATATTTCTGTGTTTAAAGAGAAAAGTATACTTATCGTCCTTAAATTTTGTTGATTTTCTATGTGCGAAAAAACGAAATCATGTGATTTCATTTTTGCTTATATTTGCTAATTGATTGTTTGGAGTTCTATGTGATTTAGGGGAAAAGAAATTATGAGGTTAGTTTTTTAATTCGTAATTTCCGTTATATTCTCTGTTGGTTTAGGGAAAACAAGCATGTTACTTTTGCATATTTCTTATTTAAAGTCAACTATTGCTCTCTAGCTGTTTGTAAAAATTCTCCAATAAATTGATGTCTTATCCGGTGTTTCCGATTCAATGAGAAAGATTCCGGAAGAAAGTTTGAAATTCTAAACACGAGCCTTAAACATAGCATAAAAATGAAGTTGTAATCTTGCCTAAAAACGTCATGAATAACAAATTTGCCTCTTGTTTCTGCTGAGAATTGGCATTTATTAGAAGTTAGGACCCTTCTGTGGGTAGAATTTGACATAAATCTATTGCGCCAATATCCTTGCAAATGTTCTCTACCGTAATTTTAGTTTTTCGCTTCAATTTCCTCTTAATTTGCGAGTTGTTGTAGTGCATGCTCTGTTTGTTTCCATTGAATTATTGGGACTTATGGAGTGACTCCTGCAATTTGTTGTTTCGTTAGCAGCTTTAGTTTTTATTATCGCCTAGCTTGAATCTCAACGTCAACATTTATTTACTATTTATTCACACTTATGCATTGTAATTCTTCCTCGGTTATGATTAAAATTAAGGACCTATATGCTATCCTTCCCTTTTCTTTCTATTATCTCAGGTTTGTTGTACTAACTTTTTGCGGGTTACAAGATCCAAAACTATTACAATATGTGTTCTTGACTTCTATATTACAGCTTGTTTTTTTTCTTCTTTTGGACTTTTTCCTCTTTTGGATGCTCTGCACGATATGATTTGGGCTTATGGAAAATGATACTCCTATGGTTTTTGAATACATTTTCATGTCACCAGCCAACTATCAACAACGATTGGAAGTGTTCTCTGTCAATTCTCAAACTTGGCTTTGAACAACTTTCACACAGCAGACCTAATAGCTCCAAGCCTCCGACCAATTTTAAATAGGATCTACTCCTAATTGTGCTTGATCATATATTCCTTCAAAATCCGTGGCTGAAATGATGAAACATTCACTGCCTTTTGAACAAAGTTGAACAAGAATATGCACAATGTCGATGCTTTAACCAGATAAGGTACGCCACAGCTAATCATACATACTTCATTCTTACTACACACTACATCCATAAATTACAACACTTCTCCTCTCAACTACAGCGTGACAACAAGATGACTGCCACCATCATCTGTTTTGCAATCTGTGGAAATCAGCCTCCGTTAAAAAAATGTAATTATGGAAATAATATGCATACAACACATAGGCAGCACAATCGTCTTAAATATAATATATAAGCAACATATGTGTATATATGAGCAGCCTTTAACTAATTTGCCGCCTATTGTATTTGTGACATTTATCGTCTAATATATATCACGGGCAACGCGTCTAGTCAAATATTTATAAATATTAGTATTACATATCTATTTTATTTTGTGGAGAAATTTTTCTTTTGAGCTTTACATGTCAATTCATACTTGTGTGTGTAATATAAAAAGTCCTTTTGTGTCAACATATTTCTTTAAACTTTCAATTCTTTCCACACTATAAATAATGAAATTCACATAGAAAAGAATAATAATTCAGACTGGAAAAATATTATAACAATCGTACTATTTTATTTCAAATATTGTTATATGTCGTAGTTTTACTTTCAATAAAAGAAAAATCACTTTTTAAGTCAAAAATATTTCTACTGATTAAGTAATAATACTCCAAAAGAGACGACAATTATTTATTTTAAAAAAATTAAAACTTAATTTAAAATAGATTTTAACAAATAAATCTTTTTTTAAAATAGCCAAAATAATTAATTAAGTGGTAGAAAATAGACAAAACATAAATGAATTTATTAATGGAATAAATTGACATAAATGAATTGGTTTTTCTATGGGAAATTCAACTAAGCTAAACAAATATAATGTTAAGAGTTAAAAAAAGGGGGGGGGGGGGGGGGTTTGAAAATAGCCACTATAATAAATTTAATTATGCTTCATAACTATAGTTTGCATATTTATGGATCGTAGTTACAGTTTAAGCTGCCTCGTTTGTATAATTCAAGGGTACATTTGTATAATTCAGTTATTATTGTATAAACTCAAAAAAATGAATTTATACCATTACAAACATCAGAAGTGTAAACAATTATACAAATTATATTATAAAAATCCAAATTATACAAAAGTTATACAAATTACTCCCTCTGTCCACTTTTAATTGTCATGATGCGCTTTTCGAAAGTCAATTTGACTAATTTTTAAAGTTAAATTAGATTACATTAATTCAATATTTTAACAAAAAAAATTAGATATTCAAAAATTATACGAAAAGTACTATAAATTTTAATTTTTTTGCATATCAATATGATGAAAAAATACATCCTAGAATATTAGTCAAAGTTATTATCGTTTGAATTTGAAAAAGGAAACTATGGAAATTAAAAGTGGACGGAGGTAGTATATTATACAAATTCCGAATTATACAAAACTAAAAAGCTAAGCTGCGTAATTATAGCTAAAAGTAGGTCGCGAATTGTAATTAAGACAAACTATAGATATGTTAACTAATTAACTAGTATATGTTTGCTTGCACACATAATTTTCCTAAAAAAAATAATATCATATAGATAAGGGAACTTTAAAAAACAGCAAACATTATGTAATACCTGGTCTTGGAAAGAGCTAATTTTAGAAAAAACTAAATTTGGAAAGAGTTAAATTGAGGTTTGTTCAAGTTACTCTTACATTTTGAGTTTTGGGTCAACTTCAAACGACCATAACTTTCACTACGGGATGAGTTAGATGGCCCATAAGGTATCAAAGATCTTTGAGTCCTCTTTCCAACACCCCTGAGTTTGCTAAATTTCGAGTTCAGATGAGGGAGATATGCCCGTTTGAGTGCGGGGTGGGTCCTTTTTCTATCTTATGCGTTCGGGGACGGCCCCTCATGGATGCTATCTATTCTAATTCGAACTTGTTGGATGCCAACTCAGCCCTTCGACTTAGTGCGTCGGCAAATTGGTCCTCCCAGGCTTGTACTCAAAGACCATGTTGAACCCTGCATAACATGTCTAGTTAAGGGAATTCATCTGTTTTAAGGAGAGGTGTTTTGGTCTTTTCCTTACCCAACTAGCCTAGCTCGTTTTTTGTTAATCCTTTAGGCACCTAACTGTTTGGAATCAATTTTAGTCATTCCAAAAAGCGCTTACGGTTTTGAGAGGAGTTCAAGAGGAGAAAAGAAGAACGTTCAAGACTCTCGCGAGCTTTGAGGATTTTCGCCAAAAAATTGATTCTTTCGAGATATGTAAGTTTTCATAGTGATGGATTAGTTCACCCTCACGCCAATCATGAGTTTCCTTATTGAATTTGTCCATGAGATTTCGTGTATTGAGTTCTTGATGAGTTTTCTTGAGATTTTGTTCTTCATTCGTTATTAATGGAGTTTGATGAGTTCTTGAGGTGAGGGTTGTTCTTGAGGAATTTTGAGTAGATTTTTGTTTACTTGTGTTGGGTTAATGAATCTAAGAGAGTTTGGAAGAAATCAATCATTAGAGTGAAGGACATATATGTTCTAATTTTTGGACGACAGGGGAACCAATGTTTCAAAAGTATGACGAAGGGTATCTGCATACCATTTACCATAGTTCAGGGATATATTTGTCTTTTTTCCTTTATTTTTTAAAGGGATGGAGGGGAAGAGGAGGTTTCTCTCTTTTGTAACAATAAAACTTCTCCCCTTCAAAACAGATTCTACCAAGACCTCACACTTTTCCATCCTCCATACCACAGATAACATATACATAGAAGATAACTCACACTTTTTCATCCTCCATACCACAGATATCATATTCACATTCACATACATAGAAGATAATTCAAAGGGACAAGGGATCTTTTATAAAAATATGTTGTATGTGCTCAGGAAATTGTAAAAATTGTATGGATGAACCACAAGCTGCACTGACTCCAATTATACAAAATAGGGATCCTAGTAGTTAACTTTCATCTGGACAGATTTTATGTGCAATTGAACAACTACAAGACAAAAGGATTTCTTTCTCTATATTCCAGAAAATTCTAAAGGAGAGAAGAACTTTTGTAAAATGCAGCAGGAGCTAAACCTGTTTTTGAGAAAGGAGGACAAGCAGCCCTTGAGGGCCTAGTAAAATCTCATTAAGGAAACTGACTAATCCAAACCAAACGACAGGGGTCACGTCAACTCCAGCGAGCGGAGGAATCAATTTTCGTGTTGTGACAAGAAAGGGCTCTGTGGGTGCATAAGCTATGACATAAGGGAACTTGCCAACTGGAAGCTTAGGATACCAGGACATGACTATTCTCAAAATGAACAGAAAGGCAAATGCTGATAGGAAGGGGCCAAGAAAGCTGATTGCCAGTTTTGCTGTGCCAGGGTCTAAATCTAACAGCACCAATCTTTGCATCAGTGGTGATGAAGCATGTGAGGTATCAATCGCACCGCTTTTCAAGACTTTAATAACCTCTTCTGAACTGAGAGGACTTGTTGGAATGTTTCCATTTGACTGAACGCCGTCCAGAAAAGAACATGCTCTTAACCTTTGTATATCTCTTCTTCTCACGGGTATTAGGGAGTTTCCCTGCAAAGTTGATGAACTTTGGAAAAGTTAGCAAATCACAGAAATAATAATGAAACCTAAGATAATTGGCAATGTTTCTGAATAGAGATGTATCACTATCTTTTCTTCTTATTCTATTGGAGAGCAATAGAAATTACATGTGATCAAGTCTTGCCTCAATTTAGACTAAACCCTGTTGGAAGCAGTGGCGGAGCTAGGATTTTTAATAAGGGGTTCAAATCTGAAAAATAAACACACCAACTAACCGAAGGAGGTTCAACATCTATTATATATCATAAAAACTAATTTTAACCATGTATATATAGTAATATTTTTCGCCGAAGGGGGATTCGGATGAACCCCTAACAGAAGGCTGGCTCCGCCCCTGGTTGGAAGTTACTGATGGTGTTGTAGAAATAATACTGTTTCATAATTCCATGATAGAGCTATCGACTTGGAACAAATTCAAGTTCACAAATAGCAGTCAAGGGAAAAGGACACGAATTTCTGAACATTAAAATGAAAAATTACCTTGAGAAAGTAAGTTGAAGTAAGATATGATACTTTCTGATTATTCCATTTCAATGTGGAACAAAATTGAAGAAGAATTTGGAACACTTTAAGATGCAGAATTGCCTAAGTGGATAGACAGTAAATTCAAGGTAGATATATGATACTATCCCTATCTCTACTTGCAAGCATACTGTCCATCAGTGGCGGAGCCAGAATATTTATGAAGGGGTGCCAAAATATAAAGTAAAAATGTATAAGCCCTGCTATCAGGATAGAGAACATACAGCCTCAAGCAATTTTTGCAACTCCTTAACCATTAAACTAAACCTTCAACTTGTATCAAGAAAGCGGAACAAACTACATAGCCAAAGACCTCAAAGGGGTTTTGGATTGAGCCATTTTACCCTATTTTGCTGAAATTATAGAGAGAGAGGGGATGAACTTACATTGGTATGTGAGTGTAACAAAGCAATTGGGTATCCTAAATCAAAGATTCAAGAGTAAGTAGAAAGAGGTAATAAACGAAAAATCTCAAAAAAAGAAGAAGAAGGGGTGATTACCATTCGATAGAGGTGGCCTGCAAATAAGGGAAGATATAGCCATTTCTCTCTCTCTCTCTCTCTGAGAAGCTCTTCAGGATATGAGAATGATATTAGACACACAAATTTCTATATCCTCAACTTGGTCCCTGCCCTTTTCAAAACTTCCATTGCATCCTTCACATTTAATTGACACTTTTTATTTAATTTTTAATAGTTCAAAGGACATTTTTTTTGTTTAAATATCACAACTTACCTAAAAAAAGGTAGATTAATTTAATTGAGAAGAAATATTTTGAATGTTCTATGATTTACTTTCAAATTAGTAAAATTTTAAAATTTACTTTTATAGTAGCTAGTAAAATCTTGTTTAAATTTTTCTCCCAAAAAAAGTAAATTCTTGAAATTTATTTTGAAATAGTAAAAAACATGACATCTACTCCCGAAGTAGTAAAACTTCAAAATTTACTCTCAAAATAGTAAAATGTTAAAACTGACTCATAAAATAGTATAATTTTGAAATTTTCTCCCAACATGAAAATGACTTGAAAAAAGTCTAAGAAATACTCTAAAGCAATGTCTTCTTGTATTTGAGCAAAATAACGAATTATGATGAACGTTTAATATCAAGCATATTTGAATGATCAAGTTTAATTCCTGAAGTGAATGAGGAAATAACCACAATTTACCTCCTTAAGAATCAAAATAAT